TCGTCGCCTTATTATTCTCTTACGGTCAGTTGCTGAGTATTAATTACCTGGTACTTATTACTCTTAATTACTTCAGTAAGCTTGGCGGGCTGAGGTCAGTTGGTTATGAGCTGTCCCTTTTTCCATGAGCTTCGTTACTTCTGGTTCTCTGCATGTTATATAATATGCTATTCAAGGACACATAACGCCTTGCAGTGATCGTGTTCAATATAAACCTGGGGATTGCTTCTGAACTGCGTCCGTTTTTTCCTTTAGCTGTGGAGCACTGCCAGGGGTCCGAACATCCACTGAATCCTGCGACAGCGGAGTGACGTCATGCGATTCAACGGCCTCATCGTCTTCCGGCCCGGCTGCGAGTGACGTCACACGCGCCAAGCTCAACGCCGCCGGTGGGATGAAGTGGGGGAAATTCTGGCGCAGGAGCGGCAGCTGTGACGACGCGCGCGCGCAGCGGCGTTCGCGGCGTGGCCCAGGCTCGGAAAATGATTGACTGCGAAGCCTCTGGAAGGACAGTGTCATTGTTGTGGCAATTATTGGTAGGGGTTATCTTTGCTGGGTAGCCACCAGGGAATTATATAGGACGTCTTGGTTGCAGGCTGAAGTATCCTATATCTGTTTGATCGACGCTTTGTGATCTGTGGTGTTATATGAGCACTAATGAAGCAGAGTCGATGACCCCACAACCTTTCAAATATGTTAAGCATGTTGAGCTAACTTTCATTCCCTGTTCCCCCCCCCCCCCCTCTCAGACATCACGCGCGAAGGGGCGGGCGGTGTCGGCTGCGAGAGTCCTCTGTCGGCCACCTCTGAAAGCTCTAATTCACCGAGGTCTATGGCGACGCAGAAGCCGCGGTCCGGGGTCGAGTATCAGTGCCTGGACAGGGCCAGGCTGCTGGCTCAGGTGAGACAGAGGCAGACACAAGCATGCTGGACTGGAGGCCACGGGATGTTAAGGTTTGTGTCAGAATGCCAGATGGGCTTCTGTGGCAGAAAATACAACAAATCGAGATACGTCTACGCGATCACCTTTGAGTGAACCCTGCCCGATTCAGCCTGGTGTATACTGTCACGAACAAACGACAGCCTCGATTTCAGAGCGTTAGTGAAGACCATGTTTGCATCCGTGGCAGTGTGTACTGTTCAGAGCACGTCCGTCGGCGGAGCCCGTTCCGAGTGTACTGTTCAGAGCTCGTCCGCCGGCCTTGGCAATGACGGCGGTGATCTCTGGCGGTGATATCAGGCGGTGATCTCTTGTGGCGATCTCTGGAGGTGATCTCGGGCGGTGACCTCTGGCATCGATCTCTGGTGGTGACTTCTTGCGGCGATCTCTGGCAATGACTTGTGGCGATTATCTCTGGCGGTGATCTCTGGTGGTGATCTCTGGTGGTGATCTCTGGTGGTGATCTCTGGTGGTGATCTCTGGTGGTGATCTCTGGTGGTGACCTCTGGTGGTGACCTCTATCAGTGACCTTTGGTGGTGGTCTCTGGCGGTGACCTCGCTCTGCTCACCTTCCAGCTGAGCGACCCCGGGACGCCGGTCCGGAGCGGCGGCGCGTTCAACGGAGCTGGAGCTGGCTCTGGAGCTGGTGCTGGTGCTGGAGCTGGAGCTGGAGCTGGCGCCGGATATTCGGTCGACATCTAGTCCGGCGCTGTACCAGGGCGCGGCGCTGACCCGACCTAGGCCGACCCGGCGTTGGGCCGTCGCGCGCGCCGCTGTCTGATCTGTCTTCTGCGCCGGTGTCTCATCCGTCTCCGGAGTTGTTGTTTGATCTGTCTTCGGCACTGATGTTTGATCTGTCGTCTGCGGCGCCGCTGCCTGATGCGTTTTGGGGCCGGTGCCTGATCTGTCTTCGGCGCTGGTGTCTCATCCGTCTTCGAAGCCACCGTCTGATCTGTCTTCGGCGCCGGTGTCTTGATCTGTCGTCTTGCGGTGCTGAGACGGCACAGCCGGCGCTTGAGACGGCAGCCTGTCCCGGCGAGTGCCCCTGCTGGCGGCCTGCCAGTCTCCATAGACAGCGGTGTACTCATCATCTCCCTACTCGAGGCTGTTTTGTTTTCGCTGGGTTCGTGTCCCAGACATGTGTTGCCCTGTGTTGCGCAGTGCTGTGTGCTTCTCCCTTCCGGTTTGTTTTTGTACCGTCATTGGACACCGTCTAAGAGTGCCTGAAGCTCCTGCTACCCAACAAAAACCGCCTAAGGGCCACACACGCGGTAGAGAGAAGCGGCAGCCAACTGCCTGCCCCACCATTGATGCTGAACATCTCCGCTAATCGCGGTGACTTCTGCACATCACGCCAAGCGTTGTTGGTATACGTTGTAAAGGACTGTCTTCAGCTGCGCTGAAGCCGCCAGCCCGCTCAAATGATCTCAACCTCCGTCACTGCACGCGGTCGGCGTGTGCGTATCAAATCGTGATCTTTAACCACGTGCAGAGCGAAGACATTGCAACTGATGAAACACACACGCACTGCCGACTGTTGTATTTCCTGGGCCGCTTCGTACCCCAGTATGCAGGCTGTAATTTTTTTGGGGGGCGGACGTGGGGTCTGTCTCAAATCGGCGAAATGTTCCTGTTTTTCGTTTTGGTCCCGACTCAGAACCAGCACATGCTAATTCACGCAAGACCTGCCTCGGTCCGAATGTTCTCTGCGCGTTTTGCATCGCCTGCGAGATTCGCGTGTCCCACCCGTACGCCGTCCGGTCGGCCGGCTTCGTCGGCGCCGCGAGCCCCTGGCCGCTCCTCTGCTGCGTCCGCGGGGCCAGCAGGTGATCTCATATCGCGGCGCGCCTCTCGGGCTGCGTCGGCTGCCGCGTCCTCGCTCCACCCGCGCTCCCGCCGGCCTGTCGCGTCGCGTGACGTCACGTCACGTCACGTCACGTCACCCACTGCCAGCGTCACGGGCGTCCCTTGGTCCGCCTACGTGTTTGTGTTTACTAGCAGCGCGTATGTGATAACGAGCGAGCTTGGGCGTGTTTGTCTGCTTGTCTGCCGCGCTTGGTGTCGCTCCTTTCGATGTACCTGTTTGTGCATGGGGTCCTGTGACAGAGTGGCGGCACGGCCCTGTCAGATGGGGTCAGGGGTCCGCTGGCTCCTCTCCATGTCAGAGTTAGACTCAAGTTCGTTCCTATGCGGGGGTGGTGCGCATTGATCGCTGGGTCAGCTCGCCCGTGCTGCCATCTGTGGACGATCTCGGCGGCTCCGAGGGCTGCAGCTGGCAGAAGTCAACGCTCAACTGTTTTCATTGTCACTTGGGTGACTTAGCGAACGCAGACGTCCGTTGCCTACTGGCGGCTTAATCCAGCCCGTTGGCGGGGTCGATGTCGATTTAATTGCGCAGCAAGACGCTGTCGGTGCATCTAGGATCAGAGTAATTTTTGCGCTAGTTGGAGACAAATTTCTCCCTTATTCGCGACCTTTAGATCACATAGAGCGAGCAGTTGTCCGATGTTGAATGAACTCATTGTTTGTCTGACTGTGACGGATGCCCTTTTCGCTTGATTACTAGCGTAGGTCGACATTGGCGTCGCGACATACGGTACGCGACTCATCCCAGATGTGCCCTATTTGCACGTCTCCCTGCCACGCTACTGTATTCTAACCCTGCTCAGCTCCTCCGTATGTACGTTCTGTCAAGCCTTGGTTGGGAGATCATGCAAAACGTCACTGCCATCATTGCAGTGAGTGGACGCTGAATGATGCCATACGCTGCTGTCGCCATCTGTGGATGTGCCAGAGCGCTAGAAGTTCGCAGCTGCTCCATGTAGTCGTTCGGAGTTGAGACGCGCCAGTGGCGCGTCTCAAAACTCTCCAGTTTGTACTTTTGTACGACGCCGTTGGTGTCTATTCGAATAAACAGAGCACAAAGTATGACGTCCGTGTTTATGCGTTTATTGAGGCGTGCTTTGCTGCAAAAGATGGTGGATGCGTTCAAGGCATCGATAGAAGCATAGTGAAGGCGACGTCGCCTGACGAAGGTTTTCATTAGCAAGTGATAATGGATCACAGAGGTTGGAGAACCTCAACTTTGGCCAGCGAGGCAGCCTCAATATCATCACGCCTTTTTCTTAACTAACATTTTAGGCATTGCACGCATTGCTTTGAAATCCATAAGTGTCTAAATTTTCCAGCAATTTTCATCCCCTGTGAAAGTCTGAAGTGCTGAATGGTTAGCGCCTCCGGTTCCCACGTGGGGGATCCTGGTCCGAACTCAGGTAGCGCTGTTACGCTTGGGCGCTTACATGGTTTGCACAGTCGCTGGCGCTCTACTGAAAGGTGCGGAAAGATGTACGCTGCGTGCCCTTTTGAAATGTGAAAATGGGCTTTTCTTCACTTCTCTTTCTGCTGTCAAGCTCCCCATACTTTTGGAAAAGGCGAAACGCGTGAAGTCAGTATTTTTACCCCGGTGGCCCCATTTAATCCTCTAAGCAGGTGGCACTAATGTTCAACGACATCCCGTTTGATACGTTTTCTGCGAGCGACGCAATACCGCATTGGGATTGACGGCTGGTACCTCGCAAAGCGGCACTTAGTTTCAGTTTTCGAACTAATCACGCTTTTTGGCCGTGAGGGGGAGCTTAGCTTTGAGACAGCAGGACCCTCTGCAGACGGGCTCTCGTCTGATGGAGGCGAGAGGACCGGCTGCTAGGCGGCGGTCGGGCTCCCAGGACTCACTGGTTGTTCATGAACATACACCACACTGTCCACACAGTATTCGGAGGTTCCAGCCTCGAGAAACTTCCTGCAGGCTGTCCTCTTCCCCGTTCCCCGAGTTCTCCAGAGTCCCGGTGACACCCAGCCCCGGTTTCCTGAAGCCTCAGCGTCCTTGCCATTGCGTGTTACTGGCCATGTCCTTCACAGTCACCACCTGGCATTTGGCGACAACTTACCCGGCGCACCACATTGCAATGCACGCCATCTATTGGCTGCTATCCAAGCTGCCTGACTAGATTCGGTCAGTTTTATCTGTCGGTGTGCATGACCGCAGGTATGCCGCGCCGTATATTCAACTGATTTTCTAGACTACGAAAACTATGATGCAGATGAGAAGTGAGCACAAAACAAGATGTGATATCGGATGACCCCACATGGGTCATCCGATGACTTCATGCAATAACACACCAGTCCCCCGCACCGTGCACATGCACCTCCAATGCTGGATCGCAGTAAGCGAGATCTTGAACCACTTCGCTCAGTGATTACATATCTACAGTTATACGGTAGATTGGATACAAGTGCTGCGTGGTGATGCGATGGCAATAGCTTATTTATGTAATTCCACGTGCTGGTTCCCCTGTCTGTTGAACATATTTTGGTTTGTCCTTGACGGCCAGCGGGGCTATAGCCGATTCATTCCCAATCCCTGGCTCTTAAAATAGAAGCCCGGAAACTCTAGACCCGCTTGGCTTTCCGAGCCAGCCTTGCCAACCAATGCTCCTCCGCATTTGCAATATGAAATGGTTCTGGATGCTCCACAGGACACCTCGTCACGCTTCCTCCCGCTAGATGTCACCACCATCGCCCGCCACCGTTCCGTTGGTCGCCAGTTCGGCGAATATGTCCGAGAGCGCTAGAAGGTCGCTGCGCTTCGCTAGAGTCGCCGGCTCCAGGCTCAAGCTGCGGCCGTGCACGTGTCCGTAGGGCGTCCTGGAGCACGACTGGTCGCTCCGCCGAAACGGCGTGATTCGAATGCCGAGGTCACGAAGCGCGTAGAACGCCTTGCGAAGCACGGCTCGGCTAGGGTGTGGTGACCGGGTGAGGATCCACACCTGCTTCGCGTGCCTGCCGGCGAGGGAGGAGGCGTCAGGGCCGCTCGATAGCAGGCGATCTAGCGACTTTCCCCCGCCGTGTCACTAGGTCACGCAGGTGATCTAGCGACATTACCCGCGCGGTGTTACCAGGTCGGTGTCTGGTCGATCTCCGGATGCCATCGAGTTAGTCGAGGAGAGATGACGTGGGTTAGGTCCTACAAGCTTATTGTTTGTAGTGCCTTTAGAAGCAGCTCGTCAACCATTCTGTAATAGTCTTGCGAACACCGTTCTAGACTATCAGCTATTTGTCATTCAACTACGGTACATCGTGTTTATGCCGATAACTTGGCTGACGGTGTTTGGATCGCGGTAATGCCTTATTCATGCTGGAGCAATTTGGTTGCGTGTCCTTGCAGAAGATGTAACCTTCTGTGAACTGGAAATGTCTTGAATGTCCGAATTTTTTCCCACGTCTTACCTTCCGTATGGCTTGTTTCTGCACGAGTACTCGATCGTCCAGTTGTCATAATCCGTTCGGAGAACCTCGTAATTGTCTCTGCAAACAAACGCTTTAAAGCGTTACTTCGCTTTGCAGACACGCGAGCACGGCGCGGCAACCATGCACTGCGTAGATGCATAGCTGTAAGGACAGGGGTTTTGGACAGGGGCGCTAACCTTACCCATCCACTTTTAACGGACGTTCAGCATTATTCTTGTGGTAATTCAGGAAAACATTAACGTCAGGACTTAATAAAAAAAGGCATGCTACCTTTTGAGTGTTTTCATGCTCCTGAAATAATTAGTTTTTGCTATATCTCTTGGGCATCGCAGGCAGAGATGACTCCCGTAAACCTGAGGCGTGATGCCATAGGGAAAGCGGAAAGGGGAGAGAAACAGTGAGCGCGAAAACGTGTAGTGAAGGACACCACGAGTACTACCGTCTCCGTTCGCCACCACCTGTGCGTGTCCCCGTCCGCACGTGGCACTAATTGCGTGTGATATTGTGACATTGTCTACACGTGGCACTGCCTGCACGTGACATTGTTCGCACGTGGCACGGACCGCACGTACATTGTCCACACGTAGCACAGACTACACATGACATTGTTTACACGTGGCACTGTCTGTACGAAATACTGTCTTTACGAGACACCTTCCTTACAAGACACTACCCGTGCAAGACGGTGTCCGTACGAGATGCTGCCCGCACGTGCCATTGTCCGCATTAAAGCACGAGATCCTGTCCGCATGCATGGATGTCATGACCGGGAGCAAAGGGAGCGACATGTCCCCCTTTTCTCCAAATGGAGTTACATGCCTTGTGTTGTCCGTACAATGCACATCTTCCGTACTTCGCCATTCAAAAATATCCTTTTCAGGTGAGATTGTTCCCCCATTTCAGTTTGATTCCACAATCCCGACTTGTGACCCCTACCACCAATGTCAGTGACGTGGTGGTAGGCACCACCACGTCACACCACTTGGGTGTGACGTGGCCACACCCAAGTCTGCGCTTGACAATATCAACAAAGACAGCGGGTGACAGTGGGTGACAAAGGCAGTGGGTGACAGCGTCTGCGCGTGACAATTCCGCCGGTGACATTTTCTGCACGGGACTGTGTCTACTCGAGAGGTGAGGACGGCGACCTCTCGTTCACCCCCCACCTGAGCAGCGGCACTCCCGGGATCGTGTAGAACAGCTTGTTGGGCGTGTACGGACTCTGCTGGTTCACATTCACGGTGATCTTGAGCGGCTTGCTGAGCAGCTTATCTCGCAAACGCAAGGTGACCTGTACCTGTGCACGGAAAGAAAGCCAGCGTTGGTGCAAACGAACTGTCTATGAATGGCAAAGTCGGTTTGAGGCGGTTTGGTAGCCCGCAGTTAAACAATGCTGACACCTTTCGTTCGCCGCTACGCCGTCGCTTGTCTTGCACAAATCAAACACCAAAGGGTGGGCACAGGTCTAGGGCTTCTCAGCTTTTCAGAAGATTAGCATAGGCTTCATGGTGTTGTATAATAAGAATGGGCCCAAAAACTATCTCTGCACCTTCAACATTTCTCTGAAAGCTTCGCTTCTCCAGGATGAGAAGTGAAAGTTCCGACTCAGTCAGCGCTGGGTCGCGTCTCGAATCAAAACTGTGCTCGTGCTGTGTCAGGGGCGCGGCTAGGATTTCCTTAACAGGGGGTGGACGGGGCGGGAAACGGAGTTCAGTGAGCACGCGTTACACCCATTTTAAAAAAAACCATCTGTGGCAAGAAACAAATAAATCTGGGTATAAGGGAAGGCCCCCCCCCCCTTTCATTGCAACCCTGGTTCTGGTGCGATAAATCGTCTCCACATCGACGGTCAGCGGACCACCCAAACCCATTACTCAAGTGAATTTAGCGCAAGTCATCGTTCGCCACAGTTATCGATAGCCGGGGCAAAGAACAACAGGGATGTCATTCAGAACACTGGATGCATTCCAACGCCCCTAGCACATTCACATTACGCGTTTGCTTCACTTCAGCTTTTTTTGGAAACTATAGTGTGTACGCTTTGAGTGGATACAATTTTGGAGTCAGCGCTCACGCGAAGCACTATTTGTTGCGTGAGGCCTGACGCTCACCATCCGATAGCGAAAGGCTGGATCACCGGCGGTATTTTCTGATTGGATCTCAACGTGCCGCAATGCTCGGCACCGGTCTATACTGGCTTCTGCTGTCAGCTGGACCCTTGACGCGCTGCTGGAATCGGCCTCATGCGATCTCAGTTGGAGACAACTAGCAAGCGCCTAAAGCGAAGCGAACCCATGCCGCCACTAACGGGGGGGGGGGGGGGTGATCCAGAGGGGGCCCTGTAACTAACGAACTTTCGGGATGGAAAGATTGTATGCTTGAAGCCTTCGCAATGATATTTTACCGTTTTCTTACCATCAGTGGAAGGGTTTGCGTTGCCGTCTGTTTTATCATTGAAGTAATTGGCTTTGTGGGAAAAAGCAGGGGTGCTGTGCGAGTGGGCCAGCTCTCGTAAGCACCTGGCTGAGTTCTTACGTCAGAGTCTACAGCCGCGCCATGCACAGCAATCTTGCCTGCACACAATCTCCCTTGCGAGCAATCGGGCTAGTTTGTGAACGCGTTCGTCTTGCAAACGTAGGTTGCTTCACAGGCTCAGCATGTTGCTAGATTAAATGGGTCTTGCACGGGACTTTCTGCCGCTGTCGCAACCAGCTGATTGTGCGATCATCATCTAATTTTCTGTCATACAACCAACCTACGTTATCTCGTGTGATACGCTCGCACCGCAGCCAGTACTCGCAACGTCAGCAGTGTGTGACGGGCGGCACCGACCGAAGTTAGCCGGTAGCACGGTGGCTGGAAGACATGCTTTTTCCTGCTAGCACGTAGCGTTCGCTTTAAACGGGCAATCCTCCCAAAGCTGTGGCCAATCCCACTCGGCAGATTGCCCTAAAATGACACCATCAGCTAAAATGCCCCATTGTCTGCCATTTCTCTTGACCAACCGAAGACAATTCCCACAAATACAGAGACAATTTCGAGATGCAGCGTGCCAATCATCTTCTGACTTATCACCGCACGGTGTGACACCGGCCAGCGCAGATGGCAAAGATTCCCACGCCAAAACTAAGAGGGAATGCTCCTATCCCCTGAAGAACCAGCCTATCCGATCGCCTGCCAAAAGCTGTTTTTTTGTTTTTGTTTATTAGCAAAAAGCTTGTGTTGCCTTCATAAAGGCAGCACAAGATTTTTGGAAGGCAACACAAGTTTTTTTTTTGGGGGGGGGCATATTTATATAAACATAAAATCCACGCACCGTCGAAAACACATGCAGTATGCTGCCTCCTCGAAGTTATCAAGTATCTCGTTAAAGTTGAATTTTGGCAGATGTTTGTGTATTTTTGGCATATAATCTCCTTCCAAAACTTCGTCTTTTGTTACCCTGCCGTACATTTTTATATGTTATAAGGGGGTGCGAGGCTCACGCGATCTGCACTTCAGCTCAGGCAGCTTTGGTGTTTCACTATGTCTATTTCGTGATCATGCGACTGCTACACCGATTTCTAAGCTGATGTGTCAGAGACGGAATGAAGCAGGTTCACCATCCTTACCTGACCACTTTTGCGCATGCTGTAAGTACCACTCCAGCACTTGCCGATTGTTTGATAAAATACAAAGTAGCGAAAGACGTCATTCCATCTTCCCATATACCTGTCGAGCAGAAGCAAGACGGTATAAACGAGCGGGCCGGGAGGAAAAGACGAAACATTGCGATCGTATATATACCAGGCTGGGGAGGAATGCTGTGCTGTGCACAAATATTTTTGCTGCGCATTATCCATGTCCTAGACCAGTTTTTGACTAGGTATTCCGTCGGTGCCCTGTTTCATCTATTCCACGCATTTAGGTTCCGTACTGCATGCGATGTAATGAGTGAAGTTCTGACTATACATGTACGTATATATATATATATATATATATATATATATATATATATATATATATATATATATATATATATATATATATATATATATATATATATAGGTAAGAGGTGACAACCAGTGCAAGAAGTGCAGAACACAGTGTTCATGTAAATTCTCGTCGTAGCAGAGAGGAGAATAATCCACTGACCTGTACCAGGTCGAAGTCGCGTATGATGGGCGTTGGTGGGCACCGGCCCGGGAACTCGACCTGGCCCCGGGTCAAGTGGGAGCAGGTCAGCAGCAGGAGCGTCGCCGCCACCAGCGGGAGCACCCCTGACTTGCCCATCACCGACCTGGGTCAGGTCAGGGACTGACAGCTGGGGTGACGGGGTCAGAGGAGGTCAGAGGAGACCAGAGGATCAGAGGAGCTCAGAGGGGATCAGGGGATCAGAGGAGCCGTGGGAGTTCAGGGCAGGACGGTGAACATCCAGTTCAGCTCAGGTTGCGATATGTGCTGGTATTCGCAAGCTTACGTCTGACGATTTTGTCCGAGACCAGGTAAGATCAGGGCAGTCGAGACGATAAGGTTGTAATAGGGCTTCAATGAGGTCAGATCAGACTAGGTCAGACCAGGTCACACAAGATCAGATCAGGTCACACAAGGTCAGATCAGATCACAAAGGTCAGATCAGAGCGGGCCGTCAGACCACAGGCCACGACACCTGGTCAGAAGGTTCTCCCGATAATCCGAACCGCGAAGCCTGCAAAACACACCAGATTATGATTAGACACGAGCGACCCGTCTTACTGACAGAACACATTCTCTGACCGAACACACCCCAGCCGTCACGTTTCGATCGATCGCGGCAGCGTGCCCGCACATATGACGCGGCTCGCTGAAGAAGGAGAACATACTGTGGGAAAACCATGCTCTGTAAAGAAAATATGACACCGAGCTGCGTGGCGGTAAAGAAACCAGTCATCATTATCCCTTCACGTTCATTTACATTCGTTTCGTCATTCGTAGTAAAAACCTTTCCCACGACTCAGGTATTTGCGTGTTGTCCTGATGATAGCTTAGTCCACTTAACGTGTCTGAACGGCAGCACTGTGATGTGTAGATGGCATGATGACATCGGACAGCCGTGTGATGACAGCCATCTGACACACGGCTGTCAAATGACTGTCATCGACCCCATCTTTCAGGCGGTGCGACATTCTATCCGCCAAGCAACGGCGGGGAGAAAGTGCAGACCATGTTGCAAGGCGAGCGGCCAGGACCGCGTGCAGACGAGATCATCGCGTGCCAGCAGCGGCCACGTGGGGAAAGGCGTGGTGTGGGGCGGGCCTACCGGGAAGGGGTGTACGGTTGGGCGTGCTGGCCGGGAAGGGGCATGCAGTGGGGCATGTTGACAGGAAAGGGGCGTGCAGTGGGGCGTGTCGACTGGGGGGGGGGGGAGGCGTGTAGGGCATGTGGGGGGGGGGAGGCGTGCAGTGGGGCGTGCAGACCAGCAGCTTCCGTTGCAGCTTCTGCGGGTTCAGAACGATTCCAAAAGGGCATAGAATAACGCTAATTCCCGAAACGTGCTGACCCACAGAATGCACGATCACAGCTCTAGTGAATAAACATGCAAATTAGCACCACTGCCGACTGGTAAGCTGCTCAAGACGTGTTATCATTGGTGTTATGTGATGGCAGTGCAATCGCATACGTGATGAAATCACCCGCCCATCACCGATGCTGATGGAGATGCACAAAACAGCCACGCTGAACCCGCTGGAACTGTTCATGGACAGCCTTTCACCGCATGGACATCAGGATGGCAAGATATATTTTGCTTCAAAATATTTGTCCCTAAGCCGTAAGGCATGACTGCACTCTGGTTAATGCCCATGCTATACACCCAAAGTATTGCTTTAGAAGATGAATCCGACGTTATCGTGCAGAGTGCCAGAAGACCACAGCCCCCCTTACTCTCTTCCCCAAAACCGGCCCCAGGCACCGCGCTTCCACCTGCAGCGTTTTTCCAGCGTTTGTTATTTATGCATTTCGTGCTTTGTCATCGACAACTTGACATTGTTTGATAATGCAGTTATCTTGTTTGTAATAACATGTCTTGGGGTTTTCGGGACGTCCTCGGCTGCCCGTCCCGCTGGAGGTCCGCCGTGCTGGCTGTCGCTGCGCGTTGTTGCGAGTGTGCGCCTCTGATGTCGCTGGAAGCGCCTCCGCGCACGCGTCCTCTCGAGAGCAATATTTGCTCGAGAAGCCTATTGGTCGGTGAGCCGGATGCCGGATGATGTTGTGGAATGTGGTTCGGCGTATGGGGATTCCGCTGTACCCGACACAGACGTGAGTCGCCATGTTCGTGGATCCGGAAAATGGATCCGGGATCCCATAGGCTGGATCCAGAATCCCAAGGATGGGTAGATTCAGGATCCCATGGGGTTTCATGGTTATGTGACCCTGGGCTCGTATCCTGGGATCTTCTTTGGTCTCCAAGCACGATGATGAGTAGGCCTGGTCAGTGCGCGGGATGGCAGCAGGCCACGCACCACGTGCATCTGTCTACCCGTGCACTTTTTGAAGCTCTCAGCCACAGTCCCCACTTCCGCCTTTCGCAATCGACCGCCTGTATGGATGATCAACAATGACCGGTCTCCCACGGCGGGGAGAGAAAGGGTCCCCAGATGCGAAGCGATGGGAGCGACCTTGTTTGGGAGGCGATCTTGAAATGGCTGACGTTAGCGCGCCGGCCCCCGCACGGGCTGCTAAAGGCTCGGTGGATCGGGTCACGGCTCCATCGCACGATCACAGATCACAGGTCACGGGTCACTAGTCACGGGTCACAGGTCACGGGTCTCTGGTCAGTGGTCACGGGTCACAGGTTACGGGCCTCTGGTCAGTGGTCACAGGTCATGGGTCACGGATCAAGAGTCACGGGTCGTGTGTCACTGTTCACGGGGTACGTAACACATGACCCGTGACCCGGGTCACAGGTCACGGGTCAAGGGTCATAGGTCACGGGTCACGGTCCGCTTCGTCCGGCGTGGCGATTAACCTCGTAGGTCCAGCGGATGGCTAATGCTCCCTCTTCTTGTTGCTTTGATCAGAAGCGTGTCTGTCGCCATGGCAACCCTCGAGCTGCTCAACTACGGCGGACCGACTTAAAGACGGCCCGCGTGACGGCGAGGAGGCTGCTGACCTTCCCCTCAGGCGTCTTTGTCGTCCGGAACTTGTGGCAGCCTCTAAAGCCAGAGCCGGAGAGAAACGGGGGAGCGGGGACGATTGCTATGTTGAGGACCAAATGACATCACAGGGCGACCGCTCAGAAAGCTTCATTGATTACAGCACCTGCGTTCGGATCCCCGCATGTATGGCGCGAATTGGGTTCAAGTCACTGGGCACCCGCTATTTGGCCTTGACCGTTGTGGGCTGTGGTCAGCGGCAGCGACCGCGCCAAAGGTCAGGCCGACAGAGGTCGATAGGACGGACCCTGTTGAGCGTTGCGGCACGTTGCCTTTTTGCCATCAAATTCTACCATTAGCTTGAAATTTTACAACGGATGTTAGGGACCCGGGCTCACGCAACAAGCATTGTTTAAGGTGGGCTCGGAGCCTAAAATTCAATCCGTTAACAAAAAATTGGAACAAATCTTTTAAAACCTAAACAATTGCATGCTTACAGGTGATGCACCCCTGTTTCGCTGTAAAATTTACTTTGTTTCGTTCACCTCTGCTTCTTTTGTCGTCTCCAAGGTCTGAGAAAAGACGCTGAGCTAGTTTTCCATCGTCACTGGGTACCAGCGCCGGATACGGAATCCCAGAGCGAGAGCATTGTTTGGTCCGACTGACCTGTCGTTGGTGAGGATACGCCATTGGCGAGGGTGCGCATCAGGCGTCAACTAAATGAGGTGTGCCGTTACAGAGACTTGCTACATCTCACTCCAGCCAAGCGTCGGCCGATTAGGGTCCGAGGACCGAGGACGGCACATTCGCATTGATCCCGATCATCCCCAGAGTTTTCCTTCACGCCTCCCTTAAACCGTTCCTGAGATGCCTCCAGTGGCGAGGGAGCTCTGATTTTCCTTTTTTGTAAAACTAGTGCCTGGCAAGTCACTAAATGTCAGAACGCACTTTGTCACGGATTTAACAGACTGGAGTGCAACTGCAACGAACCACCGTAAAAGGGAGGGGCGAAGGGGGTAGCAGTGGCCCAGGGGGCACCCGTACGAAAACAGGTTAAATATAACGCATACCATTGGTAAGCGGGTTTTCAATTACAACAAAGGCGTTAAAAGTTACAGCGTTGATCACCAAAAAGAGGTGCGGGTCTACCGCTCCCTCGATGTCAGGATGAGTGGCGTCATACAGTCACACAACCCGGTGATGTCACTCATCACGCGTGACTGTCATATTGACCCTGGAGACATTTGGACACTTCGCCGTGCGCACTTTAATGCCTCTAGAAATAATGGACTCCGGTAGAGGCGTGATTTGTTCCCGTACGGTGTAAGCAACACAAATTTGCGGGTTGGTTTGAGATTACTTGACAGCATCTCGTGAACACATTAGCAGCCACATGTCATGTAGAGTTAACTGTGATCGATTTGTCTGATGTTAGGTTTATTTGTGTCAACGCTTTTAGCAATAACTGATAGATAATATAGATATAGAATAATGTAAATAATATGAATGTAATAAAATATAAATAATGTAACTATAATATAATGTAAATATAATACAATATGATATAATGATATATTTTGGCATGGGCAACGC